TCCAAAAAAGAGGGAACATATGTACACGTGCCGCTGATTCACTTTGCTGCACAGCAGAAAATAACGCAACATGGTAAAGCAACGATGCTCCAACGACAACAGCAAAAAACAGATGCACAATCCATGACGTTAGTTTAAACTGTGTCTTTCAAAGACCCTGACGCTAAGATGAACTTCAGAAATTCCTCAGAGTTTAGCACTAGGAAAACAATTTGTCTCTTTTGAAAAGCTGACATAGTTCCCTTTATCAGTAATGAAAGCTATCTAATTCACCACCCATTTCTTTGTGCCCAGACGCCAAGAAAGAGTTATACTGAGAGCTAAATGGCAGCAGCTTATCCTGCCCCATAGCAACAAATCCCACATTTTCACAGACCATTCTGCCAACTTCCAAATCTCTGTTTTCTACTCAACAACTCCCTCCTAAATTTCTGGCCACTTCAATTTCTTAATAAAACAAATAAAACTTTACAATCTCATTACAACAAAATGACTTCCTCATCTTTTACCGCTGACATAAGCACCTTCTCTGCTGGTCACAAAGATTTTCTTGTCATTTCTCAAGGTACACTTTAGGCTCTAAGCACTTTCCTTTAAAATTTTTTTGTAAACAGCTTTATTGTGCTATAATTTACATACCATAAAAATTACCATTGTCCACGTACCCAAGTGCTTTGAACATGCTGTTCCTGCCTTCCTTTTCCATTTAGCCATCTCCCACTCTTCTTGAAGACCCAAGCAATATCACCCCTTCTGTGAATTCGCACCCAGTAAACCCAGATGGATAGGGAGGCCTGGCGTGCTGAGATTCATGGGGTCACAAAGAGTTGGGCACGACTGAACGACTGAACTGAATTGAAACCCAGACAGACTAAATTTTTCCCTTCCATGGAAGTTTATATTTGCCCTTATTATGTCATTTAGCCTATGACATTATTATTGTTTGTGGACATTCATGTTGCGTCCACTAGTATGTGAGCTCTTTGAGGGTTGGCTGTGTGTCAAGGCCTTTTCTACCCACTACACTGTCTTCCAGAACAATTGTCCTTCTGGATTGATCATCATCATCAGTCAAGCTACCCAGAGGAAGCTGCTCACCCAGCCCTGAATCACCTAGGGGCCACCACGGTTGTGGGAGCTTTATCAAGAACTGCCTGGATACCTTTTGTTGGAGTGTGTCCGAACGCCTGAACCGTGGCACACACTGCCCAGGAACTCTAATTCCAGACACAGGGTTTTAAGAGAGTTATAGACTTCAGAACAGGATGGGGAGGGGGGGGGAAGCTTGACATAGAATGGCTTCTAAGGAACATCAACAGTGCCAACAATATACTATATTTCACTGGATCAAAGGCACCATGAATTGTAAGACACATCCCAATCTCAGAAGTAAAAAGATACACTTTTTAAAAGTCTGTGAAGGATAGTAAGGTACTTAACTGCAAGCCTTAAGGAAAAACAGGGAGAAAGGCAAGGCAGGATGGAGAACTTTAAATACCCTCAACTTTGAAACGGCTACATTGAGAGCCTACCATGTCCCCATCTCTGCCTTGAGAATTTCAAACATAAAAGCACTAAGTAACAAACTAAATATAAAGAGGCCTAACAATGTTCTGATTTTTTTCCTATGAGGTCTATGTACTTTAATGGTTGTTTTTTTTTTTTTTTGAAAACTGAGGTTTTTAATTTTTTCTAAAAAAAATAACATTGGTAAGTGCTTTGCTAGTGCCCTGGGCGCACACTCAGTGTACCTATGATTGGGCTACCTGGTACTGGAGAGACAGAATGATGGCGCTGTGACTGAGAACAGCCCCCATGACCCCCATGACCCCCCATGATCCCCCACGACACTCCACGACCCCCCACGACACCCCACGACCCAGCAGCTGTGTCTTGGCCTGGAGCACTGACATCTGCCTCGATGGTCTAAATCTGCTTTGCCTGGGCTTACTTCATTTACAGAAACACAGAAGGACTAGTCCAGTGGGTCGCAGACTTGAATCAGCTGGAAGCCTTGTTAAACGATACAGCTGGGCCCCACCCCAGAGTGTCTGCTGCAGCAGGAACTGGCATTTCCAGCAAGTTTTCTGATGATGCCACTGTCGATGGTTTAGGGACCACACATTTAGAACTACTGGCCTGGTCAAAGCTACTCAGGACGGAAACTGGAGCACTGGGAAGGGAAGGGGTCTGCTGAAGATCACAGCCTGTATCATGGCAAAGCCAGGCCTGAACCTCAGCAACTCTTGTTTATGTGCGTGCCTTGTGACTTCCCCCGCAGAGTTAGATGAGTTGCCAATCCAGAGAGTTAAAGGGTCTGATAAGCACTTTGTATCTACAAAATTTGTCTTATATTTAAATTTTTAATATAATTGCCAATAATCAAGTGAGACGCGTGTCATTAGGTTGATGAGCACAACAAATACGTCCACTCTAAGCTGTTATTTCTGTTTGCTTTAAAACTTCATTTCTCCTTCCTGACTATTTTTCTCTGTCCTTTTTCTTCTCTCTGTATTCTTCAGAGCAATTTGCAGTAAGATTTCCCCAAAGACTAATATGTTTACAAATTCTCTTTTTGTCTAGATTCCAAGTGTCTCCTCCACATTTTCCAGTAAAACTTCATCCTGCTGCTGCCCCGTCCATTATCACGGAGGCAGAATGATAACAGGACTGGCAGGAATGGTACACACAGTCTTGCAACATAAAGCCCTACAAAAACCGCTCTGTGAAACCCAAATGCACAGCAACAGAGGAATAGACACGTATAATCAAAGGCAGGTCAGTCTTAAAATTTTCTTCGTTTAACCAAGATTTTTCGGTGTCTACTCTGTGGAGAGGAGCAAGCCTCATCAGTAATTAGGATCTACCAGCATTGGGTTTTCCCTTTTGTCTGAGCCTTCTCCTGCTTTTAACTGTGCCGTATATCACGGTCCTATTCCTGAGTACCTAATAATATACATCCTGTTCATTGTTTAGGCTCTCAATAAATGTTTGTTGAACTGAGTTGAGCTTAAGCCTGGTTGGGCCCTGCTGATAACTCTTAGGACCCTCCCATTCTTCCCATTACTTTCATTACTTTGTAGCCAGAATAGGCTATATATTTTCCCAATGAAAATTCGGCAACCTCATGTACTTGAATACATATCCTCCACCCCTCAGCATTCCGAACTAGAGAGATTTAGAAGTCACCCACTCTGGGGGAAGGCATGAAGTCAAATAGGTTGTTTACAATGGAAATGATGACTGGGGATGAAAGGAGAGGACCTTGAATCTTAAAACTCTCATGGGCAGTGATGTGGGGAGATGCCACCGATATAAAGAGTAAGAAATAAAATTTTGTCAGGACAGTTATTATTTTAGAAATTGAAGAAGGTAGAAGTCAAAAAAGAAAACCTTAAAAGAGGGGTAGCAAAGAGTCTCAGGGATCTAAAGCAGCTCCTAAGCCGGGAGGGAAGGAGAAAGACCAGGGAAATTCTGAAACTCGGGGGTTTGAGACAGAGGGATCAGGCTGGACTTCAGAAGACCTTGAGATCGTAGTTTCAAACTGGGGTTGAAAGAGTGGAAAGTAAAAGAATTTACTTCTTTGGGACCATCAGAGCTGAAATAAACAACTTCAGGCACATGTAAGGAAAATTGGAATAGCAAAGATGGCCTGAAAGATGAAAGAACTGACCGTGACCAAAAAAAAAAAACACAAAACCCTATTTGGTCTGAATCTCTGTTATGTGAAAGGGAATGAAGGCAAACACAATCACCTCACTGCATATGATTTTACCTTCAAGATCTTCACACTCTTGGGCAAAGCAACCTCTACACCCTCAGCCAGTGCTTCTCAAACTTTAAAGCACACACAAAACCTCTAGAGGCCTTGCTGAAACACATTTCTGGGCCCTTTCCCCCAGGGATTCTGATTCAATAAGTCTGCAGTGAGGCCTGAAATTTGCATTTTTAACAAGCTCCAAGTTGACGCTGATGGTGCTGATGGATGGACCACATTTTGAGTAGCCCTGCTCACACAGCCAGTTTCGTGGGGCTGGGGAATCCTGGGCATGGAGGGGCAAAGCTGTGGGCACAAGAGGGGTGTCCGCTTTGGAGAAGACAGCCCCCTCACTCCCAGAGATGGCTGCAGGGTGAAAGCCACTTCATGTCTCCCGCCCCAGTAGTCTCATCTGCATGCTCCACACTTGCAGTTCTTTTCGTGACTTCCACATTTTCTCCAGGTCCTTCAGCTCTGGAAGCAAGGATATCAACAGGCCCTGGGACAGGTCTGTGGCCAGGAGACCCCCTAAATATTCAGAGATTCCCAGAGTTCAGGAGAGGTTACTGGTGCTGATGTTTCAGGGAGCCAGTGAAGGGGAGCACTCCCGAGAGCGCGGGAGTCTCCCTCCCCTCGCAGGGCCAGCAATCACAGGCCTTCCCTCAAATGACTTCCCGGCAGGGAGCTCCCTGCATGCATTTCATTGTACAGACTTCAGCAAAATCAGAGCTCTGAAGGCAAAATCACAAGTACTGGAGTTGGAACCAGCCTAACATCTCATCGAGGGCCTGTCCCTGAGGGCCAGACTAAGAAAAGCAATTACAGCACAAGTACTGAGTCATTTCACACGTGGGGTTTAGAGGTTTCATAGTGCTCTGAAGGGCTTTTCATCTTTCCAACTGTACCTCCTCCAGATCACAGTGTGTGCAGCAGTTTTAGGCTGCGAAAGGAAACTAGTAAATTCAGAGAAGGAATCCTAAGTCCAGAACCTGGGATCCTTGGTCAAAAGTTATTCACAATATCTTACTCTAAGAACACAAGAAGGAACTTTGCCTTGATGAAGTTAAATATTTTCTGATCATTTTAACCTTGAGTGCTCTTAATTTTTTCTTGACAGCCTATTAGAGGGATAGAATATATTGAAAAAGGTGAAAAGTCCCACAGTAGCACAAGCTGATTGAAAGAGATTGTGCAGGAATCATGGGAGAAAGGAGAAGTGTGTTCAGAATTCAAGTTAACTCACGGCAGTAAATGTGGATGGAGCAGCAGCCCCCGGGGCCAGGCACGGTGCTGGTAGGGTGGAGAGCACCAAAGCGAAAACGGGATGATCCAGGTCATAAGAAAAACCCTTCACATCTTGCAAATGACTTATGCCCCAAATTAATTTTTTAATACTTTTTTAAAAATTCATTTATTTTTGGCTATGTGGGATCTCACTGTCGCGCGGGCATCTCTCTAGTTGTGGAGAGGGTATGCCTGCTACTCTTTGTTGCCACTTGCGGGCTTCTTCCTGCAGTAGCTTCTCTGGTGGCGAAGCATGGGCTCTAGCGCTCACAGGCTTCAAAACTTGTGGTTCCCCGGCTCCAGAGCACAGGCTCAACAGCTGTGGCACACGGGCTTAGCTGCTCCGCGGCACGTGGGATCGTCCCAGACCAGGTATCGAACCCACGTCTCCTGCACTTGCAGGTGGCTTCTTTACCCCTGAGCCACCAGGGAAGCTTGCAAAAAAGTTAATTTTAAAAACACTTTGCCGGGATGTCCCTGGTGGTCCAGTGGTTGAGAATCCACCTTCCAATTCGGGGGATGTGGGTTCGATGCCTGGTCTGGGAACTAAGATCCCACATGCTGCAGAACAGCTAATGTGTCACGTCCACGACTAGAGAGAAGCCAGAGTGCTGCAGCTGAGACCCAACATAGCCATAAATAAATAAATATTTTCTTAAAATAAAAAACACTTTTACAACCTTTATCTCACTTTATTTTCATAATCACCTTACAGAGTAGGCTCAGCAGGAATTGTCATTGTTCTACAGATAAACTGAGACTCAATAGTTAAATTATGCGCCTAAGCCTGGCTCTCACCTTTCATTATGTATATTTGATTACTTGCTTTTATTATCAAGAGTGTAGTGATGATTTTATTAGAATCAGGATTCATGGTGAAACCCCTCTGTCTGAAATCTGTAAGATTCAAGAAACTCCAGGACACTAACTAGCACCTCACGTTCAGCACAATTTGGCACTGTATCTTGGTTATTCTCCATTTGTTCTCCCTACTCTCTCCCCATCATTATTTCTGCCCATCTTTCCCCTGCTCTGTGCCCTGAGAGGCCCACCCCTGTAACTGCATTACCTTGACACCTTTTCAGCTGAGTTTGGCCAATGAAAGGAACCAGCAGCTCAAACGGCAGTAATGGAGAGAGGCGAGGGTATTTCTTTCCAACTCTCTTGCTTTTCTCTCCTAGACCACGGCACCTCCATGGCTCCAGCTCTCACTGGACGCTGGGAATGCTGTTTCTTCCCCTTGCTCCGGAGGTGTGCTAAAGCTTCCCACTCGTGCTAATCTCTGGGTGCCTCACCATCTCTTGCTGGTTCCCTTAACCCCACTCACCCCTCTGCGAGTAGGGCTGTCATTAAAATCTCGCCTCAGTTTCCCCCAGGACCCTGAATGCTACAAACCTCTCTCCCACATAGCCCTAACCTGTACAAATAACGCTAATGCCCAGAGGAACAGACTGAGCCTAAAACATCCACAGTCACAAACTCATTGATTTTTCCTTTTAAATAATTAATGTTTGTGTCTCCAGTGCTTATTTGCCATCATCCTACCTTGGGCTCTTCTTTATTCCTGGCCTGAACTTTTGCGATGGACTCTAAAGCCTGCCACCTCCAGTCAATGCTAACCAGAGCCTGCGACTGGATTAAATTTCCTTGTGCACAAGTCTGATCACATCATTCCTACTGTGGTTCCCAAGTGTCTACGGCGAAAGGTTTAAACCCTCTGGCCCAGCACTTGGTACTCTCCCCTGGGAGTCTACGCCCTCCAGGCCCCAACCCCTCACCCAAATGTATGATCCTCATTTTGTCTACACCGTTCCCTTAGCCTCGAAGGGAAGGCCTCAATTTTTTAATTTACTTTTCAGAATGTTTTATTGGAGTATAATTGCTTTACAATGTTGTGTTGGCTTCTCCTGTACAGCAAAGTGAGTCAGCGATGTGTATGCATATTTCCCCTCCCTCCTGAGCCTGCCTCCTGCCCCACCCCCCATCCCACCCATCTAGTTCATCACAGACCACCAAGCTGAGGTCTCTGTGCTATATAGCAGCTTCCCACTAGCTAGCTATTTCACACATGGTAGTGTATACATGTTAACCTCACTCTCCCAATTCATCCCTCCTCCCCTCCCCCACTTGCATTCACATGTCTGTTCTCTACGTCTATGTCTCTATTCCTGCCCTGCAAATAGGTTCATCTGTACCATTTTTCCCCCCCATATGTTAATAGGATATTTGTTTTTCTCTTTCTGAAAAAAGCCCTCAATTTTAAAAGTGTTCAGAGACTTCACAAGGCCAGCCCAAATGCTGCCTTCAGCCTGAAGATTTTCTATTTCTTAATAAACAGCTACTTCCTCTTCTAAACCCTCATGGGTCTTTCTGCATCTTTCTTATGGCACTTAGCATGTTGAATCTTTCAATATTGTTACGGGTTTCTATCCGATCCCACACCCTATTCTAAGCAGCTTTCCCAGCAGAGACTGTCTAGTACCTGGTGGTCCACTAATAAAGACAAAGGACATAGAATAGAGTAGGTCTCGGCAAGAGGTTGGATGAATGAACACATGAATGGAATCAATTTAACACATTCTGGGCAAACTCGAGGCTAAACTTTAAAATATTTGAATGATCACTGAACGAGATGCCTAAGGTATGCTAAATATCCTATATAAGATGCTGTGTATAAAAACATCTGCATATTTGCCTATTTTATTTTTTAAATTTATTTTTAATTGAAGGATGATTGCTTTACGGAATTTTGTTGGTTTCTGCCAAACATCGGTGCCTATTTTATATGACAGTCTCTTAATATGGATATATACATTATTTTATCATATGCTATTTTAAAAAAAGATCTCCTTTTGGAAAGTGGTACCACATACATAAGCATCTTTAAAACAAAAAACAAAACTTAAGTGTTCTAAAGCTGAACAAGGTCCTAGAAGAGGTTTCTGAAGGGCAATTGAATGCGTGCAATTTTGAAATATTCTACTTCTTTCTCATTTCCTATCAGTCAGCCCCATCCTCTCCTTGCATCCAATTTTGTTTAATGAGGCTACTGCAATGTATTTATTTTGGGGTGATTGAATTTAGAAAGACATTCATCTAACACGCAATTGCTGCCACAAGCTGAAAGGCTGAATCATAACAGGGGTGATGGCATCAATCCAAGGACAGCTGTTCCTTATCATTTCTAACACAAAAAGAAGCTCAGCCAGGCAGGAGGTTTTGCCTCAGCTGCAAGATGGGAGTGATAGCATCAGAAGCAGAAATGTTTCCAGACAGGTGGACATAGACAAGAAGAAAGGAAAAATGCCCCGCAAGGGGCTCAGTCTTTGGTTTTCAGAACCATGCCTGTCATGAGGGAGGAGAGTTGTCCAAGGCCCTTTGGGATGCTCACGAAATTCCTGTTAAAAGGAGATAATTTGGTGAGGACAGCGAAAGCATCTTGTGGGTTAAATGATCTTTTAAGGAGAGCTTACAAGTCTCTTGTAAGTACTTGAAGCTATTAAAGAATCATGATAATGCTGGCTCACATTTGCAGGGTATGTTATAGTTTACAACACACTTTCCCATTTACCATCTCAGACAAGTTAAGCTGGAGAATAGGTATGCACCTGGGCAGCTGCCCACATGCCCAGAGACCAGGTTCCCAGGGAGCTGGGGAGCCACAGCCAAAGAAACCTCCATCCACATTTGCCTGCTGCAAATGCCCCAAACCCACCATGAAGGCGTCACTTCTTTGAACTCGGGCATTTCACAATTAAAGCAAAAATGTCCCTGGAAATAAGCATGTAGCCAGATCTTGACTCTTCTATGCCTGAGTGTGGACGCATTCTGAGCACCTTCTCAGCAGAACAGCTGGCTAAGGTTTTCGGCAGGAAATGAACACAATCAGAGAGTAAAAGGAGGTGAGTGACTTAACAAACACTGGTGATCCACTTCGCTTGCTACAGCTTTTGAGGTAACAGGAAACAGGTAGGGAGGTGCTGATTTCAATACAGTACCTTGGTATAGCTAACAGCCAACAGTACTGTATACCTATAACCATACACCTTCCAAAGATGATACACTGTCACAAGAAATCAAGTTTTAAAAAGCCCTGGGATTTCCCTGGCTCTCCAGTGGTTAAGACTTTGCCTTCCATGCAGGGGGTGCTGGTTCGATCCCTGCTTGGGAAGCTAAGATCCCACATGCCTCGTAGCCAAAACATCAAAAACATAAAAACAGAAGCAATACTGTAGCAAATTCAATAAAGATTTTTAAAATGCTCCACATCAAAAATACCTTTTAAAAAATTAAAAAATAAAAAGCCCTAAGTTTGAATCATAGTGCATCCTAATATAAACAACACTCTTTCATTCATTTTTAATCTGTTCATTTATTCATTCTGTAGCCAGTACGCTGAACAACCAAAATTCAGAGACTATAACAAAAACACTATTTTAAATCTTCCACCACCCTTTAGACTTAGCAGGGGTGGAATGCGGACAGAGCTTCCTCTGCCACTAGATATAAATTCAAGCATGCCCTAGGTTTTAGTGGCCACTCCTAATTAGCCACAAGTCCTGGCTTTAAGTAACAGTTAATAACCATTTCAATTCAGTAAACTAAAATATCGACATCCATGGAATAGTAACAGAAACTTCTAACCTCATTCAGGGGGCTTTCAATGGGTGGGAAACCAGAATTTATTTATTTTTTTTTTCATTTATTTTTATTAGTTGGAGGCTAATTACTTTACATCATTGCAGTGGGTTTTGTCATACACTGAAATGAATTAGCCATGGATTTACAGGGAAACCAGAATTTAAATCTTCTCTTTCCTTCCTGTTACACTCCTGTCTTCCTAAATGGGGTTTCTGACCCCTCTTGGAGAAAGAGAGGAGGAGAGGAAAAGTGGGCATAAAGGGCTTGCTTGATTGGGCCCCTGGTGAGATGGTTTCATCCTCTGCAGGCCTAGCAGTTGTCTGAAACTGATTTTCTGCTATATAATATTATTTCAAGTTCCTCAAAGATCTCCCCCCTTCCCCAGTCCTGGTGGTTTCTAACTTGAGAGGGTCCCTTAACCTGAGCAAAAACATTCTATTCAGGCAGGAGTTTCTAGAAAATGCTGCAGGGCTCACCCAGCTTCTCCTCATCTGGGGCCTCTTCGAACTCCCTCTAAGCAGATCTAAGTTGCCTCCCATACTGGCTCCATCCACTCCTTGGACCATTCTTTGCCTGAACCAATTCTAGGAGTGCTGGCAAATCTGGGAGCAGCAGCAACCTCCTTTGATTTGCTGCCAAAGCATCAGCCAGTCCTGCTCTTTTCCTGTAAATTAGGGAAAGGAGTCAGACCCAGTCCCCAGGGCCCATAACTGCAGGAGACACAGCTCATGCTCCGATTGATCTTGTTGCAGTGAGATGAGGTGCATACCCCCATCCCTTGAGCCCTGGGGCCACAAGTAGCACTTATACTCATCGCTTCCTCCAAGGAAATCCTCTTCAAAAGCTTCCAAGAGTGTGGCATCTCTGGACCCTTAATGGGGTAATAGTGAGAGTCATGTAACCACTTTTCTGCTAAAAATTTTTGGTAGGTTCTTCGGGGTGGTCTGTCTCACAGCTTTGGGTATCTGATAGCTATTATGCCTTACCTCTCTCTGGGAACTTTCAGTCTAATGCTCTCAAGTTACAATTCATTCATGTGTCCAGCAAACGACTGTCAAAGGTCTGCCCCAGTGTAGACTCTCCTGTTCCCTGCTTCTTTCTCTCCTCACTGGTTCTCTTTTCCACCTTCCTGCTATCAAGAGTTATGAAGATGAATCTGTCACTTTTCTCTGCCTTCGTTCCAACAAATTTCCAGCTATCATTATAGATACACATGAGAAAATGTTTTCACTTTCTGTACCAAAATAGATAAGGAAACTGAGAATAATTTAAAAACTACAATAATGAAAATATTGGAAGTCAGAATCTCTTACAAGCAGAATAATTTTTCTAACCCAAAGTGTAGAATGTTGTCTATTTGGATCGGAGCTCTTGAAAGTTCAAGTTGCAAAGTTCTTGCAAAACTCTTGCAAACATGCACTTTTTAAAAATGTCATAGAAAAGAAAGAGCTTGATCCTGTGTTCCTAGTAGGGCCTGAGGTAGTAGGAAACAAGACGAGGATAAATTGGGGTCAGGAATGAATTTAATGATTGCTAAAGGAACCACGTAAGTGTGCCGTACTTTCTGTAGCATATAAATACAGGCCCAGGAATGGGATAAAACAAAAACAGGGAGTGAAAGGAATACCAAGGGTTCTAAAACTCTCCCACCAGACAACTGGAGCAACTAACAGGATTTCTGAAATACGCATTGATAACAGCTGTCTACA